GAGCGTTAGTGAATTAAAAGAAAGCAGTATAAAAACCGGAATGTCCAACTGATAAGGCTGATCATTTTTTCACTTGTTATTTACAGTAAGATAAATACATTCACCAACTTTTATTAAAATAAAACCATTTAAACTGGGTGTTCGGATTTATATGTCACTTAGTATATTAAGGAACCATGATCAATTAAGGACTATTTTGGGATTTATAACCTCCTGATATTTTTTCCTCAACTTTGGCCATCTGTGGTGAAACAAAAATGCACTGCATTATATTGAATAAAAAGATTGCTCATTGAATACAGATTTCAGAAAGGCACCACACGTACTATCTGGAATAGAAAAAAGTGATAGCTGCTTTTGTAAGTGACTGGCACACACTACAATGTAATTATAGGATTTAAATTCAAGTTGCACTGGTTACCGATCAGTGACATGCTAAATAGTACAAAGCTACTACATTATTAGTACCTGCTCCTGATATGATTTTATGAAACTTACTGAAATTCGGGCTCCAGTCAGTAACAATACAAAATAATTATTTTGTTATCATGATTACTTAATGTCTTTTAACTACGTTGCATTTGTATATGATAAAGCAACTATCTAGAAGTATTTTATAGAAAAAATGAACAAAGTATAACCTTATTTGTAGGTGGAGCTAAAGATCGCAGATGAAAAGGTTCGTTTTTTTAAAATCGAAGAAAAAAATCAATATCTCAAAAACGGTGACCCTTTTATATAGGTAAGTTTTTGTTATTTGTGAGGTCAGTACAAAGCCTACCTTCTCCTTAAGTTTGTCGTGGTATTTATTGGACACCCTGTATACGATAAGCATAATTTGAACGACGGAATGAAATACTAATAGTAAAGACTAGATAAATATTCGAGTCATAATGCACACAGCACTAAGTAGCACATTAGTTCCGGCTGATCGATCTAACGGTAGTACAGAAACCAGAAGCAGTACTACTCACCATCTACAGCGAACGATACATCATTATAGAGCGATTGTCTGGCGTGATTAACTCAAGTGGTACTATTTACTAGATACGATTGATCGTCGTAACATACCAGGGTAGTTCAGTTAGTAGTATGGCTTGACATAAGACAAAGTTTGTCAAACGGAATCAAGCAAGAGAAAGATTACCGAGACCATTTTTTTTATTTTTGGAATGCGCATGTATGGTAATTTGTATGGAATATGACATGGATAAATTTGGAGCAATTGACAGGTTTAACAGCAGACCAATTTACAGGCTGATTAGGATTTGTTTGCTTTCAGTCTGTGCGATTATAACCAACAGTATACAACGTTGTTGTTTCATGCTTTTTAGCAAATATCAGTGTGGTACAGGTCTAGTCAGGCAGATAACGGAAAGCAAACAAGAGAAAGCGGGCCTATTGAAAAACTCAATATTGTGATGTGCGAAAACACCTATGATTGGTTTCGCCAATCACGGTACCTCCACATAGAAGCAAACACTGTTATTCACAGATGCCAGAAAAATGTACTTTCTTGCTGCCCTGACTTAAACTAGTCATAGGTGAACTGTCACCTTTGTTTTATTGTTGGCACACCAATTGCGACATATAGCCCTAGAGTATGACCATTATAATGATATCGTTAGCATGATAGAATCTCATAAAGATATCCTAAGAAGTAGCTGACCTACAGTAATGGACAAAAGTATATAGACAAATATGAATATTTACCTAAATACCTTTAGAAAACGAATTCATATTTCATTGCTCCATAAACAAATGCGTTATTAGTAGAAAAACTAAATTCCTTGTTTTACATTAACTGCAATGAACACAATACAAGTCTGAATATAAGCACTTTTTTATGAGGGACAAAAATATGTAGACAATTTCTTTTCAACATTAGTTTAGTATAGTTTCGTGTCAGAAGAGGATTAGTTTGCGTTCATCAAGTATTGTGAAATAAGTTGAGTGATTTCAAGACCATGCCGCGTGGTCCAGAAATATCTTTCGATGTGAAAACTATTGATTTATACAAAGATGGTCAACGTCAAGTCGACATTGCCAAAAAGTTGAGGCTGAAGCGTAAAGCAGTTTGGGCAATATTGAACAAATATAAACAAAAAGGTATATTGGAAGCCTCAAAGACAAGTGGTCGGCCTAGAAAACTAAATGCAAGATCAGTTAGATTAATACTAGTAGTTTCGTCCAAAGATCCGTTTAAAGACAGATTGATGAATCTTATATCAAGAAACTTCTACAATCTATGCCGAGACGATGCCAGGCGGTGAATAATGGTTATGCTACAAAATATTAACGCAAACATGGTTGGTTTTCTATAATTCAATGAACTTTGCTTCTTTTTTCTATAATTGTTTTGCTTTGTCTATATATTTTTGTCCTTCATAGTTCCAGTTTTTTTCAATTAATTTTTTATTGAAGGAAGTCAGGTTGGTGTATTAATAAAACAAGTTAAAAAAGAAATACAGCACAATATTAATTTGTCTATATACTTTTGTCCATTACTGTATGTCAACTGCCAGCAACGGATCCACAGAGTGGCATGGCTTGAAGTGTTAACGACTGTGGTGCATAGGTCCGCCTGGATTTGAGCGATGGTTATATTGGCTTTGAGGGCATAGGTGGACCACAGCTTATTGTTATGGTCCTGCAACTCAAGAAAACCCCACAAGAAAAAGTCATTTGGGATTAAATCGCACGATGTCACCTCCCGATAAGCATATCCATATCCTCAATGTGTTTATACAAAATGTCATACCATACAATTACATGTGCAGATCGTACGTAAACCGTCTATTACTCTAATTCAGAAATGTGGTACTGATATTCACGCATAAAAATAAACATAATATCCGTGCAACATCCAACCCGTTTATATTTATCTAAAAGACCTTGACCTCTGTGTAGTCTCGTAGCAGCATTCACACCGCACTGCATTACCGACGCGATCACGATCTCAATCCGAAAGAAATCAAAACAATCACCTTGGCGAATGACGAGGAAATAAATTTGCAACAAAGTAGTGACTACCTACAGCCATTGCTTGCACGCTGGATCAATCGAATGTCTGTTTTCTCATCAGCTGGAATAATTTAAGATTAGATGTGCGGGGATGCTTGTTGGTTTTGTAGTATTTATGGGAATAGGTACAATATATTTGCGGAGCGAGACGGGTGCATAATTCAGAGGGTTTGTTTTGACGTGCCAACAGGTGTATTTTGTCGGACAGGTCGTAGGATGAAATGTTAGGGACAAATGTTAACAAATCTCTCACCGTGGAAAATTTCGAATTTGATATGGTTTTGGCATATACATCACGAACATAGTTAGCTAATTCCTCAATTGATATTATTCTTCATGATACCTATTATCTGTTTATTTGCTTCTTTGTTCAGTTACCATCGACCCTTTTTTCTATGGCGATATTATGACCGAAAAACAAAACAATCTAGATTGTCCCCAAACACTGTTGTTGTATAGGAGTACCAAATGTTTTTGGACTATTTATCTGCTATTTTGAATGCTTGCTGTTTCGCCAACACGAGCGGTTGGCATCTTCAGAAGTTTATGATGACACTGACTCTTCTCTTCTTCTCGTGACCGGTGTCTACATTTATGGGTACCCCAGGTGCCGTTCTCGGCCATTGGCGGTCGGGTGATATCGATATTGATATTGCATTGTTCTCATATTTTTGATTAAATTCAACCAAGTTTGGTGTATTTTAACCGCTTCCTCTACTTTGATGATGTTGTCCGGATGTTTCTTTATTTCAATGGCCTCTGTACAGTGTTGCATGAAAAGAAGATGCAGTAACTAAGACCTGCATTTTTTGAATTCAATTCGGCGATTTGTTTTTGTTAAAGTGTGTTTTGTCACGGCAAATTTATCAGTCCCAGGCTGCAGTTGGCTTCATGTTCCCTGCTTCTGGAATTTATTGATCTTTTAGTTGCTCCTATATATACAGTTCCAGATATATGTGCATGGTATATGGTAAACTCCAGAGATCCTTATCATCCTTAGCTGAACTTAGGCATTCTCCAATTATTTTTGTTGATTTGTATATGGTTTTGATGTTCTCCCTAGTAAACGGTCTATCATATCAGTTACTCTTGGAGTGTAAGTCAGGAAACCTTTGACAGTGGATTTAACCGATTCGAGTTCTCTGCTTTTATGCCTTCTGTTCGGTGTACCAAGTCAACAACAGAAGGCTTAAAAGCAGATAACCTGAATTGGTTCAATCCACTGTCAACTCTTTCCTGCCTTACATTCCAAGAGTAACTGTCTAACTGAGGAGAACAACAAACCATTATATAAACCAACAAAAACATTCGAAGAATGTCTAAGATCAGCCGAGGCTAAAAAGGATCCTGTTACAAACTCAGGAAATTACCGTATACTATAAGCAATAAATATCAGTATCAGGGAACTGCCTCCTGGGACATGCCGATAAATCTGTCGTGGCACAACACACTTTAAGAAAAGCAAATAACTGAATTAAATTCGACGAAACACAGGACTTAGCTACTACATCTTCTTTTCATGCCGGATTGGAAACTCTGCAGAGAAGCCATTGGAATCCAAAAACATCCAGACAAGTTCATCAAGACAGAGGAAGCGATTAAAATACACAAAACTTGATTGCCTATAATAAAAAGTATGACATTGCAATTTCAACAGCCACGGCCACCCATAAATATCTTCACCAGTTATTGCAGAGATTCTGAAGATGCCAAGCGCTTTTGTTGGCGAAACTTCAGACGTTCAATGGCCTAATAGCCCAAACCCAATTTAATGTTTCTTTGTGTTTTTGTTTTGGATTTTCCGCTGACTCTTGAGCCTACTAAATAATTTCTTACGTGCTCTTTTTTGTTGCTTTAATTCAACATCTTTCCAATACACATAGTTGGTGGCTAATCATCTCAAGTCACAGCCCACCTAAAGATGGAAAATGTAAAAACAAAGGCTTTCAGTACACCATAGGAATTGTTGAACTCACCTGTCTGAGCATGTTGTTGCCCGTTCCAGACGCGACAGCCTTCGGCGTCTCGCAAGCCCCTCCCACCATCGCCCTGCCCAGCAACCCTCTCGGCCCTGCGTTCTTCATACCATCATCTTCTTCCTTGAGCAATTCCTTCAATATGCGATCCCTGTTTTTATCTTCACTCGGTTTCAGCAACAGGTTCCTTAGTCTCGTAGACTCCGAGGAAACAGCAGCAGCCATGACGGCCGCCTCCTCCAAAACCCCCACTTTGGAGTCTTTTTGTTCTTCAGCAGGTGGGAACGGTTGTTCTGTCAAAGGGGAGAAGGGGAAACCGCCCCCGCTGCCCGGGTAGTGGTTCGAAGAGGCGGACGCCGGCGTGGCGGGATTCGTCACCGGGCTGGGAAGCGGTTGGTGGCCGCCGAACGGGGAGGATTGTACCTGGAACCAAAATATGGGATGCAGTTTTCACAATATCTAAATGAAACGAAAGAGACAGTGTCGCGAAACCCTATGTGGAGAAGAAACAAGGGGCCTCCGGTTGATCTCAGCGGAGTACTGACTTCAGCTTCCTGATATATGTACGTACCAGATTTACGTAAGAGAGGACCTTTGAGCAGGGAAGGATTTTCGAAAAACTTTCCGACTAATTCTAAACCTAAGTAGCCGTTACGTAGAAGAGGAGCTCTTGTCATAAGCGTCATAATTGATGTTGTTATATCTCAGCATCTCTTTAACGTGTACAGGTGTAGCTGCAACAATGACTAAATCCCCAAGAGGATTACAAAGGGCTCCGACAACATTCACCAATGGTGGCCGATTTCTATAAAAATTTCCACAACCTGGCAAAACCAGCACTGGGTGTGAAATTGCTTCACTAACGTAGGTTGTGGCCGCTGAACTGCTACAAGAGAGCACCGGAAATAGTACCAAGTCACGTTCAGCTCTCGTATCTAAGGTCGACGGAAATTACAAAAAATTATGAGCTTTAATCTCACAACGACAATTCTATAAGGTAACAATTCCCGTTCCGTGGCCATTCATGCGTTGACCATGCCTCACGCCGTCTATGGTCGAACAGAAACATCAACCACATCCCGCAATGACCTTTAAAGACAGTAGAGTACGATCCTCCACCACAGTACCATTAGAACAAGAGAAGTGTTTTGAGATAAAAATAAAATTCAATAATTTTAAGTACTGTTATAAAATTATTATTCTAAATAAGAAAATCGCTGTAATAATTTACTTTATCACGATATAGTTAATTTTTAGTCGATCATAAAAAGAAACTAACAGTACTATCTTCAAATAATAGGTTGCAGATGTCTCCATTTCACCTCAACTGATCTTCAAAACGCCATTAGCATGATAACATGCCCGGCCCAAAAATTTACAATACTCGCGACGGCCGGCGGTTGACGTTGTTCTACACGAGTAACGGTAGCGATGCAGTTGGTCCACTGTAGCCTTTTTATACAAAACCTACGGAAGCGATCGGGTGTTCCTAAGCTTGGTCGTACCATCTTATAGAATTTCACATTCTATCTTTATTACCAGCCCTGCATTTTTTTGTCGGTTTAAATTAGGATTAGAAATAGTACTAACCTGCGACTGTCCGCTGGCATAAGGATCCCCGCTGGCGCCGCCTCCCTGTTGCCTGGTGGGCGTCGTGGGCGTGTTCGTCCTGCTGCTCGGCCTGCTGACAGACGCAGGCGCCGTCGCCGTCTCCGTCTGCCACCCGCCGTCGAGGTCCCACGACGAGGACGTCGGGAAGTTAAAGTCTAGGTTGAATTCGCTGTCTAGCGTGAACTGGAGCAAGGCCGAGGAGTCTGGGGGCGGGCCGTTGGAGTTGGTCCGTGGAGGCGGTGCTGCGGTGGCCGCCGGGCCGGCCGTACCGTTTACCACGCTCGTCATGAGCGGACCGCCCACGCTGCCTCCGGCTGATATCGGCGTGGGGGTGGTGCATGTGTTCGTGCCGCCTCCGCCTCCGCCTGGGTCCGTCGGACCGACGCCGCTGTCGTTATCGCTGGAAGAAAATAACCGTGGTAAAATTGACTGACAACAAATTTAAAGATACTAGAATTTATTTTGAGGGTATCATTGGATTATAGCTTATTGACAGAGAACTGCCACTCAAAAAAACTAAGAGCACGATTTTGGTGGATAGTTCAGTATCTGTGAATGGCTGAGTTCATGCGTAATGTCAAAATATGCACGAAACAAATTTCAGTAGGTGCATTGGTACCTGAGTTGCAGATCTTTGCCAATAAGCCAAAATCTACCGGATGTCCTCAAAGTTAACACAATCTATGTAATCGCTTGGATTAAGCCGGATTTGTATAGGAAAGTAATTGAAAATTGGACTTCCTGAACCTCTGGCACTATGTGAAGCCGTGGCGGGTAGTTGAGACATGTCATATTCCATACAAATTGCCAAACGGCTTTTTAATAAAAAATAATTTTATTGATACCTTACATACAATTTGATTCATTCTATATCAAATCGATTTGCCCTTTACACATGGTATTTTTGAAATTAAGTACTAAAAGAATCTTGAAATAGAGCTTTTTTGGTTTGTGGTTAATTAGATCGAGATCCTAGACATAACAACGAGCACTGAGATTAGTTAAGTAATGTTTGTAACATTACAAATATTCAATTGTTCTGTCCACATTATAGAATACACAAGCATTGCAATTAATGTACGGAACTCTGCTCAATACCAAATAAGCTTTATAAAATATATTTTAATCAAAACCTGCTCACTTGATTCGAGGCACTGCACATCCAAGGATCTCGAAGCACGCGTTCACGCATACACTGTCAATCATTTCCTCTCATCGAACACTTGTTTGTCACTATCGCGTAACGATGATGATCATCATAGAAAAGATCACATTCATCATATGTCATATGCAACGGGCTACTGAATAAATATTTTAAAATAATAAAATTGTCGATTCTTGTGATAGAATTTAAATCAAAACTAGCGAGATAACGCGGATAATGGGCTATATAAAGAAAAGATAACGTCGAGCTGTTGTCGCCAGTGCAGGCTCGTGAAGAGTAGGAGCTTCAAGATAAACGAATGAAAGAAGCTTTTCGACAGTTTTTTGGCCAGTCTCCGTTAATACGTTTAGGCATTTTCTGTCCTTCGTTAAAAGCTGATGTCAAATGTGTATAAGACAGCTAGCAACCTGGCGAAGTGGTCGATGATGCGTTGACGGCCATAAGCTAGAAATGTGGATATCTAACAAATGCCAAGTTGCGACGATAGTACGTACGTATGGCTCCTTGATTTGATGGTCTTGCATTGGAACCGTCACAACTAAGGTCAAATTCTCCCCAATTCAGCTTGTATCAGATAAGCTCTGCTGGATCTCCCATCACTGGATCCGCGGAGAGGCGATAGTTGCCGCATATCAACTGTGGCGTCAGGGCAACTAGGCCTTCAAGAAGCCTGTCAAAGGTCACACGGCCATCTTAGTTGAATTGCAAAGGGAGGATCCCGTCCTTCTGAGCTGGGGTGATCTGATCACTCTGGTCTCTGAAGAAAGTGGGCAAGGTACACTTACGGCTCGGTTGCTGAAGATGGCTGTGACGCGGGGTCTTTGGGACTAGAAATAGGCTCTCACTGCCTCTCGGTAGATACACTACTATTTTTACAGCCAGGCTGCAATGAAGGCATTAAATGCCTGCAAGATTACGTCGAGCCTTGTGTTACAATGCAATCTGATATCGTTAGTGTGGGAGCCGGGGCACGCTGGGATAAAGGGAGATATGGCAGACGCTCTCGCGAGAGCAGGATCACCGAGCAAGCGCCTTTTTCAAAGCCAGCCCTAGGGGTGTCCGCTCAAAGACTCAGGAGTATAACGGAAAAGTGGATATCTTGACCACACTTTCTGAATTAGAGAGGTACCTCTAGACATCTCTGTCAGGCACAGGAGCTGATCTTAGGGGCTGACATTAAGGATGGACGCTTTTGTGTATCTTTGGATAGATCCAACCTGAGGTTGTTGGTTGGACTTTTGTCTGGCTTTAACACGATGAGGCGTTACATACATGTGATGGGGGTGGCTGAGGTTTCCATGTGTGAGCGCTGCGATAGAAGGGCGGAGCTTGAGGCTTAGGGAATGTAGTGGTGCATAACGGCCCGTGATGTGGCCTATGCGCTAGCTCCTCGTGGTGACCCGCTATGCCTCTAATTTCATTTTATCATTCACTCGATGTCAGGTAGGCGAATGTTTAGGTAGTAATGAAAGCAGTAATGTAGAACTTCACTTACTTCTGACTGGTTGCCAGTTTGTCCTTTTTATAACAAATTTCGCGTGTTAGATGGTCTTATGCCCAGTCTAGCCCTCCCAGAGAGCTTTTGCCTATTCTGATATAGATGTTTGACCTTAAAAAAGGCATACACGCCTTCATTGGTCCGTCAGTCTTCCTCCGTATGCCATACTTTGATTTAATACCGTATTGTGTTTTGAGCATTTTCTGAGATATATTCCAGATCTATGTATGATGCAGATGTTGCAAGCACGTGTACATTACCTTCGTTTCCTGAATGACCCGATGCTTTTCCTACATTCTTGCTTTTTGCAATACGTCCAAGGCCACATGTATTTGAGGTCCAAATTTATGTGTTTTGTGTGTTCCTTCACAATCCAATAATAGAGCAAGATGTCAAATAGAAAAACTTACCGCAAAAATCAAGTAAAATCAAGATTTATTGAGTTGCGCTACTGCTTAGTATTGATCCTTCTATCTAAACAATTCCATCTCACTCACTCTGGTTACGTTTAGTACCACAGAAAGCACTAGAAAATAACGACAACTTTATTCTATACTCAGCACTTGACCTCCGCATTCCGTAATGCTACATCAAACCACAGAATTTTCGTTTTGCGTTTGTTGAAAAAACAATAAAAAAAATACGCGCTGCTCCGCGATCGACAATGAGCAGATTATGTGTGAGCTGACATGGTGATTCGGTGCAGCGTTTTGTGCATTTTATCAGATAAGAGGAAAATAAAATCATCGACTGGGAAGCGCAGTATCTCGTGTGAGTCATGCCGAGATACAGTTGGCGTTCGTATATCTAAATGCAATAATAATACCTGGCGTGAGAATGTGTGATATCGGTTCACACCAGACAGTAAATTTTGTCAGTTCGATAATTTGCCCACTAAGCAACTCTAATAATATATGGTCAAGATAACCCCAAAAGTTAGCTGCTGAATCTAATGGTGAAACCGGAAGCTACAGCAAGTCCCAGGAATAACTATTTCTGAGGTCCCGAAGTCCATCGTCACACAGGTATTTATTAACAATCTTGCAAGTATAGTATGAAGTGAAATCCTCTATTTGTGGAAGAAGCGGAAATATTCAGAGTAACAGAGATAATACCTGATTGTAAATTATTGCAAAATAGATTAAATCACTTTCTTTAATGCAGTGGCACCGCATATAGCATCATCCAAGATTCACCAGCTACAGTGTGTAGTAGGCATCTGACGAGGTACGATGGCGAAATTCACGCTAGGTCCTAACACCATGAGCGCCACCTATATTGTAAATCATTGGCTTACCCGCATTTCCCTAACAAGGTTTGTGGGTTTCAGGCTCATAGGATATGCTTTTGAAACAAGATGTGATTGTGGAAATATATCCGCGTATAAAGAAAACTAAATCTGCGGGAAGTATATGTTGCCCATCAGCCCGAAAGTGTCGGATAGCGTCAGTAATGTGGGTGCCATCTCTGGAGAAGCGTCGCAATCTCAAGGTAGACAACACACACAGCGTAAGCCGCTGACCTCTAGTCGGCCGAATCAATTTTACAAAAATTTCAATCTGGCATAAGAAACCGCATGTTGCAGTTACGTAATAAAGGTGCGAATCTTTATTGAGGAGGAAACTTTACATTTAGCTGTTCTGCTTTCAGGTATACCGGATATATTGAAACAGATGGCGCAAGTAACGTCTTCTGAAGTAAAAGTCTACTTACCTAATAATCGAATGCGTGGCCATGATGAAATCTGAATCATTCGTGGCGTGCGGTACCGTTTTGAAAAATTTGGATTTCGTCTGCACCTGGACGTACTTGTCTGTGCCGATCTGCAGTCGATAGAGGGCGCTCGTGGATTGGCCGGTACTCACAGTCTCCCTGAGGTGAGCGTTCAACTTTTGCAGATCCTGCTGCAAGACCAGCTCTCTTAGTTGTCGGTTCTTCAACTCCTTTTTTATCGTTTGAGCTACCGATTCTGAAACCTGAAAATACAGAAAAACATTCAGCGGATAACGTAAGATATCGCAATCTGACAGATGCAACTGTAAAATTCGCACTAGGTGCTACGCTGTTTAAGTAGCCTCGCTGTGAACGTCACCTATGAAAAAATGACACAACAACCGGTTTGTTGGTATTTGCCTACACTGCGGCAACCCGCATTGCGCCAGCATGATTTGTGGGTTGCATATTACTAGGATAGCATAGGGGGTATGGAACAACATGTGACTGAGGAAAAATGACCTAGTATAAGAATCGCATTTAACCGATTGTCTGCAAAATAATGAGCATGTGTACATATTCATTGCCATTTGATAATTGATCTTGATATGCGATAGGTATATGTTAAAACAAGTGCTATCTCTAGAGCAGTGTCGCAATCTCAAAGTAGGCAACATATAGTTAGGACAAGCTATTATGCACTATGAGAAAATCGCTGGGCAAATCGTAATTCGACATAGTGCATTGCAATCTGACAGTGAATGAGGAACTATAATGACGCTTAAAAGCAACTGATATTGCAGATACTAACCCCTGAGGTGTCAACACAGATAACTTTGCCTCCCGTATCCAACTTCGTAGTAAACTGTTCGATACTGCATGAGATCTTGTCCCTGTGGGAAATCCTGGAAGCGACGCAGAGTAAGCATGGCCCCGAATCGCTCCCGTCCTCCTCGGAGACGGACAGGTTGTCCTTGAGCTGGGTGCTGGAGATGTGCATCAGCTCGTAGAAGCTGACGCGTTGCTGCTTCTCCTCCAGCGTTTCGTCGGTATCCTCGGTCGGCTTGACCAACAATCGGATGTCGATGGACCTGGACCTGGTGCCTGAAGGGGGCTGTTGGTCGCCGCTTCCGGTACCTCCAGACCCGCCCCCGCCCCATTCGATCGCCATGGGCAGCAGGTTCGTATGGAACTTGGCGTGGTCGCCGTGGTGGATAAAGTTGTAGATGCTCTTGCCCAGCACGTCCTCGCGGGTGAATTTTATGTACGTCGAGACGTTCTCGGTTACGTGCTCCACCTGGAAAATGGAATGATAATATAAGTGCATAGATTATCATGCATATAGTTGTGATTTTCATTTCCACAGCGTATAATTATTGCTAAAATATACAAATTTTCTTAATGACACATACACCATGCCCCAAGATATCCGAGTTATTAGGATTAAAAAAAAAATCAAGATATCAAATCCGACAATGCCTCCAGGAAAGGATTAGCTGAAAATATAAAATATAGGTACGATCTCTGTTTTTAAAATACATTTGGAAAAATCGAAAATGTCACAGTCCTGCAGCAGCCACAAACTTGTCGAATTGTTGTTGGTTTATGGTGTCATTAGGATGCTGCTGACGTTTCGTGAGTATCACTATCGTTTTCCTGGACGTTTCCATCCCGTGCGGCGCATGTTTGTCTATCTCGACCAAATGACATTTGCAGGAACGTATAACTCCTAAACAGCCTCAAATGTTGCAAGATGATGAAAAAGTTAACAAACCTGTGTTTGTGAATCAAGCAACAACTTCCGACAGTATTTATAAGCAACATGTAACAGTGTGGTAGGTAGTTGGAATTTCTTATCAAATTAATTCATTTTTTTACTCTTCAATATCGTTTTATCGCAGATTAGTTGCGTTATTTCAAACGTAGTTGTCTCTGAATAGCAGAGTTGCAACTTTCAGAGCACCCTGTAGAAACGACGCTGGTCCTGTCAAGATTCATTTTGCAAAATGCAAGTGAAGTATGAGGACTATAGCACACCGAGGGATAGTAGATCATCTAGAAGAAAACTTCATATTATTTTCCGTATAGATTGACCCAAAAAATCATACTCTTTGATGTAGGTGGGGAGGGAGGCAGGCCCGTTATGTTATGTATTATTTAGACTTTTTCGGAACTTAATATCTCGATTATATATTAAGGTGTGGTATGTGTTACTAGGAAAGTCCCAGTTTTGAAGGCTGGATATCAAGTGATAGGGGCACGCAGCTATATGCTCCGCCCTGCACCTGAGGTACTATCTTGGGTTCTTTAGTTCAAGAGCAATAGTCTAATTTTACTGATTTTCAATACATACACAACATGATTCTTACAAGGACACAATTGCCAGACGGAAAACATAATCTTGTTAGGATATTTTTTATAATTGCCCATGCAAATTTCTTATACGTATACTGACCTTCCCCTCGCTGTTGACTACGAAAAGGAACCCTTCGAGCGCTTCAAGGAGTAATGGTCCGTACACCTCGTTGGACAGGATGGTAGGCCTGGACGAGGACACTTCCCCCTGTTGCACGGGATCGGCTGCGACGGCCGGCTGCTGCGCTACCGGTTGCGCGGCGCCGCCCCCCGACTGGGCGGTAACCATGGCAACGGCGTTGGCGCCGCCCCCTTGCGCGGCCTGCGCCGCGGCCTCTGCCCTCTTGATGCTGCGGATCTGATTCACGGCCTCCTGCAAGATGGCGCACTTGTCCGGTTTCACGGACAGAGAGCTCATGTCGGCTATGTTCGCCGATATCAGCTCGGCTAGCTCCTCTATGTAGATGTTTTCTTGCTCGCGGCGACGTTTCTCATTATTGCACTTGTTGCTGGAAAATAGGAGAGGCAGTATGTAAGATTTGGAAGACAACATTGCATAGTCGTTGGTAAAAAGTGAGAAAACTCCAGTATTGTGACATTGGTTTCCAAATCTAGAAATCCGGGTATGATTTCTCGTGCCATTTTATTCCTCCTGACAATACGCGACGGAAATATTATCGGTAAATATTACGAAATTGGTATTATTTTTTATATACTAAGTGACATATAAATCCGAACACCCAGTTTAAATGGTTTTATTTTAATAAAAGTTGGTGAATGTATTTATCGTACTGTAAATAACAAGTGAAAAAATTTTCAGCCTTATCAGTTGGACATTCCGGTTTTATACTGCTTTTTTTTAATTCACTAACGCTCTAAAAATGAATATTTCAGCCGCAGTAAAGAATCAACGTTGGCGGATTTTGGTTCTTGTCATCCTTTACGATCGGTTACGATGCCTAGAGTACGGAGACCTGTACGATTTCGTCAACTTAGTGAGTTTGATAGGGGCCGTATAGTGTGACTTCGGGAAGCTGGACTTTCTTTTCGGGCAATTGCAGTTAGAGTGCAAAGAAGTGTAGACACTGTGGTTAGGTGTTGTCAGGCATGGCTTCGAGAAGGCCGTACGCAAAGAGCAAGGGGCACTGGACGCCGCCGTAGAACAACAGACCGTGAAGAGCCCCTAAGATTATTGGCCTTAAGGGACCGTTTCTCCACTACCAGGTCCATTGCAAATGAATGGTTTGCAGAACACGGAAGACCTATTGGCATGCGAAGTGTTTACCGACGAATGAGAAGTTTTGGCTTGTTTTCATACCGGCCACACTGGGTCCTCCCTTTAACTCGAGAACACCGACGTAATCGGCTTGAGTGGTGCAGACAACGGTCACTCTGGGATAAGGAATGGAACAGTATTGTCTTTAGTGACGAGTCTCGATTTTGTTTAGGCATGCACGATGGTCGTGCCAGGGTTAGAAGGCGACGTGGTGAAAGGAGGAATCCACAGTTTTTTGTTGAAAGACATGTTCATCACACTGTTGGAGTTATGGTTTGGGGTGCTATAGCTTATGGTTCCAGGTCACCTTTAATCTTCATCAGAGGTAAGATGAATGCGCAGGCGTTATATCCACGAAGTTCTAGAACCCCATCTTTTACCCTATCTTGACACCCTGGCAGATCCAACTTTCCAACAAGATAATGCCCGACCACATGTTGCAAGAGTCACAATAGACTTCTTTCAACATAATGATGTCACATTGTTACCATGGCCACCAAGATCTCCCGACTTATCCCCAATTGAGCACGTGTGGGATATGATGGCTAGGTGATTGCTCAATTTGCAACGTCCTCCTCAGACTCTAGAAGCACTTCGAGAGGAGTTGGTGGTTGCCTAGAATGAGATACCACAGGAGGACATTGACCACCTGATCAGAAGCATGCCTAGGCGCGTTGGAGAATGCGTAGCACATCAGGGTGCATCCACACATTATTAAAGGACAAAGGGCTTCAAAGCAGTGCAATCATTTTGAAATTTTTATCATTTACTTATTATGCTTCATTAAGTACTTATACAAAATTTTATTAAAATAAAACCATCTAAACTGGGTGTTCGGATTTATATGTCACTTAGTATATATCACACGTGAACAGTAGTTCGAGATTTTCTTTTCAAATGAAACCAACAATTTACCTTTACTAAAATGATGTTACTCATTTTCATTGAACGTCGACATATGCCCGCAAATTATTCACAAATTACATAAGAAACCTTTGTAAATTTTGAAAATCGTCCAGTGACGGCAGAGTAATCATGAAATAGCTTGACTTCTCGGTAACTGTGAACAAATCATTTTTTTTATAGACAATCAGTTTTGCCTTTGCTCTTATGTAGTCTCGTGATCGCAAGAATTATTATCGAATGTGGGACGAGGAGATTTTACGCCATTTACAAAAATCGTATCATGAATTGACAGATTTATCTGTCTGATTCTGAAGGATTTTGTCTTTGTCGCATGATATTTTTTACATTATAATTAGTATCAATTTTTATGTCAAAATCCATCAAGACGATTAGTCTGTAGCCCGTGAAATAGAATTTTTCTTATACATACATACAAGTATCCACGCGTAAAAAACATATCTCATTCTGCGGAAGCCTGGTAAACAACTAAATCAATCAAGTCAGTCAAACAGGCGCATACAATTGAATTTTGCATATGCATGACTTTGTGTACAACTTTGGGGATTTTTAGGTAAGAGAGAGGTGGATCCTTGACGCTTTATGCAGATTTCAACACATTCACTGCACTAATAGAGGAAATAGCGACAATATTTTAAAAGTAATCTCGAAAAGTTCAAACCTCATCTGCATCCACTAATCCTGCACACGAACATAACACAGTATGCAACTCGATATATTTTTCTAAATCTTGTGTAATTCACATGAACCTATAACAAACAACCGAGGATGCCGCGATTCAGACTCACATTCGCATCATTTTATTGTAGCAATGCAAGATCAAGTATACTTCGAATGGGGTCAACGAATCCTTATCTCGACGCGAGAATAACCAATTACATTTTTTAACGTCAAGTCCGATCCTAAAACAGTAAAAATATGAGATGTGTGTACATGTATGTTAAAATAATTACATGGCACATTGTTTGGTGTACGCTGATTAACTCATTTAACTTCTACTATCTTACTGCGAGTGACAGTGCGGAAATTATCATGGGTGGAACTTTGCTAAGCGGAATATGCATAATATCAGATTATTCCGCGGGCTGTTATTATTTGTTACTGCTTAGTTTCAACAATTTAATGGACAATGTGGCGGAGTATGGGAATGATAAAAGGAAATGGTATGTAAGTGCTTCCTGTTGCCAGAATAGGTCACTAAGGGTCGAATCGTCAGCCGTTCCTACAATTGTAGGACGCCTTTATGGCCTCCTTGATTTAAATAGTTTTCTACTTTTCCATGTCAGCGTTCTATTTCTGTCACAGATATCTATTTGCATCAAATTGTTCTTGCTTTTGAACAAGTCCAATCTATAATTTTTTGGAGGAGAGAAAAGAGTATGACAATCAAGGAGGCCATTAAGGCGTCCTACAATTGTAGAAACGACTGGCGATACGGCCCCAAGACAATGTCAAGGCGAGCTGGAGCTGGAAACTTATAAAACGGCGTCGTACGAGGGCGACTTTTTGAATTTTCCTCCGCTTAACTGGATAGGCAACACTGCTCATGTTAACAAGCGTCTGTCGGTTGATTCGTTTCAAATCTTGAACAAATGCCATTTAGTTTTTGTTTTTCAGCCGTTGATAGCAGATTGACTTGTGAAGAAAATGGATAAAAGTGAATTTCGTGTGCTCATCATCCAAGGGTAAGCTTGATAAATACTATGAGGACTCTGCACCTTCAATTTCAATGACAAAAAAAACCTGCGTTTAATTCAAAGGACATGGACTTATTCCTCGTACACAGTTTGTTTGAGGTTCTCTAATTATGGAGTACGAACGACTTGAATTACCTTTATTTCTTCAGACATTAGATATTTATTCTTATTTCAGCTTTTTATATTCTATATCTACACTGAGGATATAAACCATACGTACTGTAGATGTAGGTCTTTAGTTTTGTAGATAATGCTATTTATCATTGTCTTCCGGCTCTCACTAGTTCAAACTAATGATAACTTTTCGTTCGCATGAAAATTAGATTTATCTTTGTTTGCCTACAACAAACCGAATAAAAGTTAGTTACGCATAGTAACATGCTAACAGTAATAATGAAATAAGGGAACTTTATCACCCCAACTTTTTTATATCCATAACCACTAACGAATTGGTCTCGAGCATTTCAAGTATCTGGTAACGCGCACGACTCGTTTAATTTTTTTGATTTTGATTGCAGAATTAATTTTCAGCTGAACACAATCAAATCGAAAGTAGTAAAACAACAAGATGTACCAATACCATGACGCATCAGTCTGGTAGTTGTTATATTATCGAATATTCAATCAATGCACGGGTACGGTGCTGAAATCTAACAGACACAACATTGTTTATCCTTTATTCTGCATATTTATCAGCTAATCTCAGCCAGTATTATGTATCATGCATTTTTATAACAGACTTGAAAAAAACAAATGCAGTTACATTAATAAAAAATCAACTCGGCCGGATAAATTATGGTTTCTGATTGTATAATGAATTACGTATGTTATTATGTCACAAACAGTTTTTAATTTCAAAATAACTTGACTATAACTTCCATAAGGGATTATCCCAATAGTTTACTAGATATATGATATTGGATATTTTTATGTCCCCATTATATCACTTTTCAAGTTGCATTTGCAATCGGTGCATCGTTTACTGAGTTTACGTCATGTACCACCGAAAAGGAGCTTCTCTACCATGGTATATATAGTATAAAATTTGTTTTTGCCTAATTTTTACAAACTATCTTGGAAACTATAGTGACTGGCAAGACTGATAAGTTTACAAAACTATAGGTATGTTGATTGAAACTTTGGTTGCGTCAACAGGCGCAGATTAAGCTACCTATATTTTCATATCTTGCTTCCAAAATTACTAAGCTATTATATTCATACAGAACTGTATCAAGCAAGTTGAGACTTGGTTGAATCTTGATTGCGTCAACAAGCAGTGGTTGGAATTCGAACTAAGCGAAATCTTTATAGAGATCTTGTATTTAAAATTACGGTGATTGGCAACACTACTAAGCTATAGAATAATGCTGAGTCTGCAAAACTGTATGTTGAAACTTGGTTAAAACCTTGGTTGCGTCATCAGGCTGTGGTTGACTCCTCCGGGATAGACGATCTATATCCTTTTTAAGCACATAAGCACTATAAAAACGACACTTTTGCGCACAAATCTCTCGCTTCGATAGAAGACAAGCAGCAACGTTGCACTGGTGAGCCAAGCCGTTTTTTGCCGAGTGTCACGAAAAAAGCTTTGATCAGCGCATTTCGCCACCAT